CTTCAGTTCAGAGTAATTTTTATTCAACTTTCGCGGTTAAGAAAGAAAAATGGCTTCAAGTAGTAATCTCTATACTTCCTACCCACTCGTGGGAGGTTCCAGAGCAAAGAGATTAGTCAAATCGGATCGTGATTAAGTAGGTTCACTCAGGTACGATAAATCTTCGACCTGTGCATATCAAACTATATGAAGCAAATCTATCATACTTCTGTTTCCATGGCGGATGTAGGAAAAACATGTACGTCGTATTATGTCTAGTAGTAGTACCTAAACGAAGCATTAAACTCGCGATAATATTCCAACTTCGGTTCACAAGTTTCTTGTTGCATAAAGATATCTGCATCAGACCGTGTTTCTCATTTATGTCGGATCGTCAGTCCGTGTCTGTCGTACATCAATGCGTCATAACTACTGAGTCAGTCTACTTGACGAAATATTTAAAGAACCATCATAGACGAAGTAACACAAATTAAGGGTATGGCGAAAGGGGTGACACATTTGAGGATCATAAAATTCATACATAATACATGAGGAGATATAAAAACAGTCATTATTATTACAAAAGCATCGCAGAACGCGATGTGGTACGTACTCCTAATACCCAAATAGAGGTGTGTCAGTGACTACATCATCGCAGACCTGTTGTTGAGTTTGTTACCTGTTGCAACGATTCAGCATTGCAAATTCATTTCAAATTATACATCGGACTTCATTTAATTTTACCCTTGTTACCTGGATCAGAAGCTTCTTAATTACACAACCCCCTACCCCCTACAACCCCAAACTCCCAAGTTTCGACCACCACAAAAAATTTTAAATATGAAGTTTAAGAGATTTTTATTTTTTTGGTATTTTTGTCCCTAATTTACGTATTATTTGCATTCAAAGTTGGAATAAGTAATAGAAAAGGTTTAAAGCTATTTTAACGCATTATTTCTATGCAGAAAAAGTGGTTGAAATTACCACATTCCGTATATACGCTAGGTTTAAAATCGAAACTGTCTAGTATCTGGAAGGAGTTACACCTTGAAGAAAATCATAGGTGTTCATTTCAAGTTGGATAACTTTCCAGGTAAGGTTTTAATAGCAAATCGTTTCTATCCGAGGTATATTAAGTGCCTCTTGCTACTTGGTGTATTACGTTATCTACCTGTACGGCATTTAACTGCTTTATTAATGGCTTTTGTTCATAGAAGCCACCTCCATTGTGTTGAGTTTCTTAGTACCTACCTCGCGATATTAAGTCCTGAGAAAGGCTCAAGTTAGACTCAACAGTAAAGCTAAATTAAATTTCTCGGTGAACCCAAGGTTATAAAATGTTATTCCTCGGAGTAGAAGGTGGAGTTGAAAGCAGCTGGATTGTTAAAAAAGTAATAAGGTGACAAGTATGATGCCAATAAACGAACGGGTTTATGGTTTTCTAAGGTGTACGACAGACGTTTGACTTGCTTGTGTGCCGAAGTGTATGTTTCTAGGTAGTGTAAGGAATAGTTCCATGTAATTCTAGTAGACAAACGCACACCCACTGAGAAACAAGGCGAAGAGAATCAAGGCGAGTGAAAGTTTTCTTTTCTGATAGTGCTATATGCTTCTCACGCGTCAAACGTTGCGACGGTTGGCTTCACAACGTTGCAATTTGCCGGTTATTATTCAGCTATATCCAAAAGAATCCGCCAACGTACTTTTTTTGGTCTGCATCCCTTCGTCTTAGTGGGCGGGTACCTTAGCGCTCATTTGCGTTGCGCCATCAAAATCACATCCATAAATGAGTGCTTAATGATCACACCGGCACACAAACATAAAAAAGTGGAATGTACATTTGACTAAACCGCCCTAGGGAATATGTATTTCGATGCGCGAAGTCCGAATCTGAAGTTTGTTTGACACGTACACACTCAGAGTTTTCAGTAAATTATGAAAAATGGCTAAAAATCGCAAAAAGTGTGCAAACGTAAACCAAAATTGCAAATGGCAAAAAAATGCCAAAGATTGACAGAAATCGCTAAAAATTGCATAAATTGCAGTTATGCAACCGGAAAAAACTTTTCGGAACAAGATAAGTATACATTCTACATATTTCGATGGGCTGAATCCAAATCTGAAGTTAATCTAGCTCGTTGGAGTAAATTGCGAAAAGCCGCTTCAAGTCACTATAAAAGTGTATGAATTGACAATCATGCAAGCATGCCGTGTTGACGTTCTACCTTCCTTGATACCGATTTTCGATTTCACTTATGACTTGGTGAAATCATCCTGCTTCACTGTAGCCTCCTAGATTGAAGGAGAATAGTTAAGAGTAAAGAAGAGATCTATCGCTTTTTCCTGTAACCAGTGCACCTGCACGTGGTGACGGTGAGCATCGAAATACATAACCCTATGATATAGGTGGGTCTACTCAAAAGTACAAACCACGTTTTTAATTTTGTGAGCCAGTGGCGTTGTTGGCTGACGTCGCATTGTAACGTGCCAGAATCACATAACTTTTTTCTAGTATTTTGATTACTTACCATTAATTTGAAATTTGTGTTTAAATATTTTGGAGATCAAAGTTATAATATTTTATTAATTATCCCAGAAATTTACTAATAAAATATCGCTGGTCCTCGTACAGTTGGCTTTCTAGGGTCTGCCCATAGGCAACCAGCGATTTGTGGAACGCCCTCCTACTTGTGACATTGATTGACAGTCGACTGACTGACTGACTGACGGAAGTGTGTTGGCCATCTTACTGCTGAAACATCGATGGAGAAGGTGTGTCGGTCCTTTATTTGGTTTCCAAGTTTTGGCATATTGGCCCCCAATCAACATTTTATGGAGTAGTACCGTTTTTTGTATCTACCTTACCTACCTGTTTGTTTTGGTTGTTGTTTGGCGTTACTCCTTCCATTTCTATGGGATTTTAACCCTTCCAGCAGTAAGTTCTTCTTTTATTCCATCTGACCACGTGCATTAATGCATGTCCATAAGAGGTTCGCTCAATATCTGCTTCATTGTAGTGGGAAGGCATTAAGCAAAACCATCATCCGTACTCCTCCATCTTTGCGGCTGTTTTGTGGCCGGTCGTAGCCGATTTTGCTTGAGAAAAAAATCCTGATGCAAACAGGTGAATATAATTTTAATTAACTCCTTTATAAATATTTGTATGTTTATTGATTATTGTTGGCTGACATTCTTAGAGTGTACTTGATTTTGTCCGGAATTTTTCATGATGAAATATGAGGCAGTGCCTACATTAGCAACTTCGCTCGAGATTACTCCATTACATTGACCATGATTTTGATCTTTGAGCTGCTATAACCTTTTGTTGAACACGTGATAACTGTTTGAGGGTATACTACTTTAATACATTACAGTAGAACCTCGGTTATCCGAACCTCTATTATCCGGACCCTCTGTTATCCGAACTCGTTTACACAGTTGTTTCTGCTGTCAATTAAGGACAAAGTGGATATTTTGGAGCGTATGAAAAAAGGCGAATCGGCCCAATCTCTGTCGGTGGTTTATGGTGTGGGAAAGTCAACGATATCGGACATTAAAAAACAGTCCAGCGCGATTTTGACGTTCGCGAGCAAACTTGACTGTGATGCAGGATGTTCGAAGCGCAAGACCATGAAAAGATCCGCCAACGAATGTTTGGATGAGGCTCTTTTCACATGGTTTTCCCAAAAACGTTCATCTGGGCAACCTATCAACGGCCCCTTGGTGTGTGAGAAAGCTTTAGACTTCAATAAAAAATTAGGGGGTGACCCTAAATTCTCTGCAAGTCAAGGATGGCTAGGTAAATTTAAATCTCGACACGGCATTCGCCAGCTTGATATTCAAGGTGAAAAACTCAGTGCTGACTCTTCATCTGCCTCTGGATTTGTGACAAGATTTTCAGAAATTTTAAGAGAGGATGGTTATGATTTGGAGCTTGTTTATAATGCAGATGAAAGTGGTTTATGTTGGAAAAGCTTACCCTCTAAAACTCTGGCATCCAAGAGGGAAGTGTCAGCCCCTGGATATAAATCATGCAAAGATCGGGTCACCGTAATGGTTTGTGCAAATGCTACTGGTAGCCATAGAATTCCCATGCTTCTTATAGGAAAATCCAAAAATCCAAGAGCCTTCAAAAACGCGAAGATACCTCTCGTTTACAAAAACCAATCCAGGGCATGGATGGACCGGAAAATATTTGTAGACTGGTATGACAACACCTTCATACCCGAAGTTAAAAAGTTTCTTGAGCAAGTGGGTAAGCAATCAAAGCCTGTTTTATTGGTTTTGGACAATGCGCCTTCGCATCCAGATGCTGAGAGTTTGACAAGAGACGGTTTCAAAGTCATCTATCTACCTCCTAATGTGACATCAATCCTTCAGCCAATGGATCAAAGTGTCATTGAGACTATGAAAAGGAATTACCGGAAGCAACTTTTACGCCGACTTTTGCTCAAAGACAATGACGATGAAAAAGAAAAGGCTGACAGTGTTATCGCGTTCTTCAAGTCAATTAATCTGAAGGATGGTTGCTACATGGTTGTTGAGGCCTGGAATTTAGTTTCTCCAAGCACACTGAGAAAGGCATGGAATAAGTTGTTGAAAAAATACTACGATGATCTCAATGAGCCTACTGTTGATCTACTGCCCCTTAACGAAAGACATGAAAAAACTGAACTTGTGACTGAAATGCTTGACACACTTGAATCCCTCAAAGTAAGAGAAGACTGTGACGAAGAAGACGTGCTGAAGTGGTTAAATTCTGACGCCGATGACCAAGGATTCCCCATTGTGACTGATGAAGAAATTATTGAGAGTGTTCTGTCAGACCCCATTGTGGATGACGAGGAAGAAAGTGTCGATGACTGTGCTTTGGAACCTCCAACGGGACCCTCTCACGACGAAGCACTAAAAGCCGTTGATGTTGTCTTTCAGTGGCTTGAAAGACCAGAGGAAGTAGAAGTGGTCCAGCTACTTCAACTTCAAAAGATAAAGGAGTTGGCTTTTACAAAAAAATAAACAAAATGAAGCAGACGAAGATTGGTGATTTTTTCAAACGTAGAGTTTGTAATGGTTCATAATGTGTTCGTACGTACATTTATATATATATATATATATATATATATATATATATATATATGTACAACATACATAATAAATATATGTACATATTGAGTAGTTAATTGTTTTATTCCCTATGTACACATATGTAGTACATATATGTACATATTTTTAATCTAACCTCTTTTATCCGAACTTTTCGATTATCCGAACCACCTTTGGTCCCAATTAGTTCGGATAATCGAGGTTCTACTGTATTCTCTTTTTGCCTTTGCTCTACTTTTTTTTAATAAAAATGTACATGGATTTTCAAATTCGAGTGTTTTAATTGGCAGTTTTGCCTCATAAAGAGAATACAGAGTAGATTTTTAATCTTTAATCTTTCTCTCTGTAGGGTTTTTTATCCTTCACCGTAAATGTTGAGTTTGAGATAAGCAGCCGATACTTTGTGAAGTTCCTGAGAGAAGACAACAATCCGTATAAGTTTAGGTTTTAGTTCCCATTTTTAAATTAGTAAATGCCGATCATTCTTCTGGCGTTATGATATTTGTAAAACCTATCGCGTTCGAATACCATGGTAGACGTTTAGCACTGTTACACTTTAAACATCTCCTTGTGCTGCCATTTTAAATAATATCTCTTTTTTAATTTCCCCAGCAGTAGTGGAACATTTTATTATGGAACGTATGCATGAGTTAATTAACTAGTTAATATATTGTTATTTTAAATATCTTGTGTTTTATTTGGCGCTCTGTACAGTTAACTCGTTGACGTCATTGCTATTAGATATCATTAGGTTCTCTTCTTTTCAGTTTATGGTCTTGCAAAATGAGTTCCGACTCAGGAATTTGTGGCTTAATCCGTTTTGAGTCACTGGCGCTCTTAACCCCCCTACTCTCCGCTTTATTGAGCTAGGGTCTAAATTTGCAAGCCACTAGACAGCTATTTTGCATTGACTGATCACTTGATTTCATTCATCGTGTTTTATTTATTAATTAATTAAAAAAAGGACGCACTACCAGTTCCTTTATTTATAAAAAAAGGCATGGCAGCATGACAATGTTTGCATAAATTTTTCAGAGCGTTGTTTTATATTCGTAACTATTAAGCGTATGTTCAAGAAAATATTATTCTTAAGAATACAAATAAACTTGAGTAGATCCTTTTTGCATTGTAACATGGTAGAGTCTGTTCTAAAAAGATTGAATATAAGACAGTTCTGTTGTTACTTTTCGGCAAGTGTTAAATTCGTAACTAGGTGGTCCAATACATATGGCATTTTCTACAATGGAATACCGGATATATTTTAGTATATTCTAAGTGAAATTTGGTGTAGCAAACTATAGGACTCCTTCTGGAACTATGGAATATTTTGCAGATAGAATAGCGGATTTTTTGTCAGAATGAGATTCATATCTCATAGTTTCTCGTTACCTGAATATTATCCAAAGTTTGTGCATCATATGTACCTACAAGGAAGGGCTCATAAACGCCCCATGTATTTATTCTAAAGAAAAAACCAATCGGATTCTTACGCTTTTCGATAATCCTTTGTGTAAGCTTTATTTTCGTACACCATTTTTGGGGCTGTAATAACTATTTTTTCTAGTAATGTGTCGATTTCTAGAAATGACAGTTAAAAATAAATAAAACCACATGAGTCGTGGAGAGGTAGGCATTTCTATGGATGAGCTTAAGCCTTCATTGAAATTACCGAAAATTACCTCCCATACCTCCCATCCTCTAAAAATACTCCATTTCTATGAATTATGTGGTACTCATTTGCTTTGTTTTAAACGGCAAATAACATAGCTCCAAAATTTGGTAACACAACACCCCAAAACTGTTATGACAACACGAAGCTTATGTCTTATGTAAGTTAGGCATGAGATTATTGTTTTTTGTTAAGCTTCTATGTATAAGTGGAGTTACTTGACTTCAAGCCATTTGGAGTGACAGTGGATGTCAGCTTTTATAGCGCGCTCAATGTTTAGCACAGGTTGACGGCGATTATGTTTCACATAAACTAACTCTCGTAGAACATTCACAAAATAAATTCCCTTAACCTACTTCTGACACGTCGCTTCTTTGTTCTCCACCACAATCTTCAATTTCTATAATATACCAAGAATGATATTTACAGTTCATCCGAGGTAGATCATCCACGAGTGTTAGTGTTGACTAACACTCGTGGTCCATATCTGGTACAATTGTATGAAGTTCCACGATATATTCAAATAGAATTCAAACGCGTTCTTCCCACAATCAAATAAAGACTTTCCTGAAAATAATATTCCAGATATAGATTCGAATTTAATATTCTTGCCGTATATGCAGCAGCAATCTCTCGAATCCACCCTACATCCCGAACATTTTGTATACTTAACCCGTTTAGAGAAAATGTGTATGTACGAATATCTTGGAGAACGATATGTTGACTTTATTATTTTTTTCTTTTTCAATAGCTGTAGCGTTCATAAAAGATGTAATATATTACATGGTAATCCTTTGAATAAGTGTTGTTTTGAAGTAAATATTGAGATAATGTGAAAACCTCAATATACGATTTTAGACAGAAAGACTTGCAATTCAGACAGACCGTTGTTTCGCTTTCCAGAATACCATAGGCCGAGGCATGCTCCGTAAGTCAATTACAATGACAGGGACGAGGGGTGGTTATGGAGGAGATTTTATGTCCGAGGCTCTGCGACAGTTGTAGATTATGTTATCTCTCCTAAACTGTGTTATCCTGTCTTTATTTCTAGTTATAATTTCAGAAAAAAATATAACTTACCCTGTTCTCAGTTAGTAGGTACTGTGACCTCAGAGTATAGTTCTATGAAATTGGGTCGTTGATACAAATCGTTGCGGTTTGGGCGTGACCTAGTTCCAAGAACTAGGAAAAAGACATAACAATTATTGGCTTACGGCGTATTAAAACTTAAACTGTCTGCCGAATTTTGGATCTCTGGTGCTAAAGGAAACACAAATTCACAAGGCACACAAACATTTATTGAACAACAAAAGGCATTTAAAAGAAGTCCTGGTAGACAAGCAAAAGGAAATTAGTTGATACTATCCCCAAGCCAAATGGTTTCCAGCAAAAACTAAAATTAAAAAAAAAATCACCTTGGTAGGAGCTTGGATATTACAGAATGGTGGGATTGATTCCCATACAAGGGAAGGGATAGCTGCTATGTAGCCTCTCGAAGAAAAGGCTACCCAAACGGAAGCTCCAAAGCATAGGTAACCAAGGGTACGAAATCCCAGATGCAAATCAGAACCCGAAGGTAGAACCCTCAAACAATGAGGGTTTACAGAAATGGGAGACTGCTCCTCACAGACGTGGGTTCTACTTGAAGATCGCCTAGGAGTATCAGTGTAGACAGTTCCCCTCAGCTCGATAGTCTAGTGTAGCTGTGATAACGGCTAAATCCCCAAGAGTGTGAGAAAAGGGCTCCGGCATACAAAATTCACTAATGGAGGCCGGAGGTGTGAAATTCCTTCACTACGCAGGTTATGCTGCTGTACTGCCACACGAGAGGACCGGAAATAGCCCCAATTCACCTTCAGCTCTCGTATTTACGATCGAAGAAATATAAAAAATGTCCTTCAATGAGATAAAGAGCAGAATACGATTTTTACCATAGAATTAATAGACCAAGAGAAGTGTTTTGTTATAAAAATAAAATTCGATATTTTTAAGAACTGTTATAAAATTATTATTCCAAATAAGAAAAACGTTGTAATAATTTACTTTATCAAGGTATAGTTAATTTTTAGTCGACCATTAAAGAAACTGTAACACCAGACAGTTCCCCTCTATAGAGTTACAAAATCATGTGGAAAAAAAGAACACGTTGCTAGGAGGAAATGGTCACTTACCAGCTCGATGGTTTAGTGTCGCTGTGATAACGGCTAAATCTCCAAGATTGTGAGAAACGAGCTCCAACAACAAAATTCAATAAGAGATGTCGATTTCTATCAAAATCTCCACAACCCGACAAACCTCAACACTGGGTGTGAAATTGTTCACTACGCAGGTTGTACCGCTGTACTGCAACGCGAGAGGGCCGGAAACAGCCCAGCCAGCTCTCGTATTTGAATTATAAAATTTTTTTTTAGGGTAAGGAGATCTGAATCAATCAAATGAGATATGAGCTATCCCAAGAAAATCCGATGTGATTTGGGTATCTGCGCATGTACAGACGACATTTTTTTGTCTGGGTTTGCCGATTCGGAAGATCTAAGGCCACAGATATACTCTGCTGTGTCAGGCGGCTGATGATGGGTGGTACGCGGCAGGCGACGTTGCTTATATCTGCCTTGCATTGCTTTAAATGTACTTATTTATACTTAACATGGGTAGAGGAGACGACTCGGTGGTGCTGCGGCGATACGGGCGACACCACCCGGCGACACGGCACTTTCAGGCCTTTTGCCGTTAATGTGATCCTAGTACAGAATCGTCAACCTGAATATTTCACAGCGAAACATATTTGTTTTGCAAAATTCAGTAAAAATTTGCAAAAAGGATCGCAGAAACATGAAGAGGTACGAAAAAATTATTTCCTCCTACTACAAAGTTGGCTAAAAACTGAAAACTCTTACACCTCTTACTGTTCTTTCGATGCTGATACATAAGTTTCAGTTGATGAACCTTGCACCCCTGCAAAATCATCAAACTCGGTTACAAATTTGCTACCAGGATTGCATAAACGCGAGGTGGTAAAGAGGATGAATGAATGAATCTTGAATTTTAGAGGCATCCCGGCCACCATAAGGAGCCAGTGCATAGGCCGCTTAAGCGGGCCCTTATGCACCTCTACAATACTTAAATCACAAGCCTCGCCCTTTTAGCGAAGTTGAGGATGTACTTTGCTCCTGATTCAAAATGACGCGAATGTCTTTTTACACCTCTTGCTGTTTCTGCGATCCTAATACAGAACTTTCAGCTTATGCTATCGTACATCTGCATCAAG